ACGCGCCACCGACACCGCGCATATTATTTCCGTCGGTTATTTAATTTGTGACAGGTATGCTTATACATTACGTTTTGAAAACATTTTGAATCCTAGAATACCTTTTGCTCCTTTGCAACAGGCAAAGCTAAACTCTGCATTATTCCTCAGCCATCAGATGATCTCACCAAATAGCCGACTAGCTGTACATAACAGTGCGTGTTTTCTCCAAAATATTTAGCCTCAAATGACAAGATCCACCATGATGTGCAGAAAATTAATAAGCTTCATGCATTTGAATGCGAAGCATGCCTATTTTTCTACTGCTGCGCTCAGTAAGCTGGGTTCCTGTGTGAAAATTGCATACAAACTAATATTAAAACTCAATGGCCGGAATACGAGGACTTTTGTGAGAGAAAACCTTAAACACCAGGGAGCTCACAAAGTGAGAGGTCTTCTCCAGTTTTCTAGCATTTTGGCGGTGTAGATGTGTGAAGATGCAGTTACCGTTAGGCTTCCTGCTTTTGATCACTCCGATATGGTACCTTGTCAGTTTTGGTCAGTGCTTTTGCTCCATTCGCATAGAACGCTGAATGATTGTGGATAAATTCATTATATATATATATATATATATATATATATATATATCCCTTTTTGACGCCAGACAGACGAAGCTCGCAGAAATTGCACGGTATATGACTAGTGACTGGCTCTTCTATGTAACGGGTTCTTCATTTTATGTCGGCGCCTTAAACACTTCAAATCAGAATATGAGACACGAGCATGCAAAAATAACAAGCTTTCCATTGGACAGCACTCACTGCTGTTTTGGACGCGGGAACAACAGGCAGTTTTTTAAGCCTTGCAGAAGACATCATTAGCATCACGCACTGTGAATAACACAACAAACATGGCAAATAACAATACTGCATGCCAATCACCCAATTCAACGTCATTCACCATTCATCAGTGTCTTCTTCCTTGTCTGAATGATTTATTTGTGATCCTGCTCCAAAGGGATAGTTCAATAGTTTGACTGATTTGTTTCATTAGAAGCCGTTTGTGGTCATGAGGGAAAAATACATCCAGAGTGAGTGAGCAATACATCCAGAATGTCGAGTTTTCTGGTTCATGTGTAGGTGATAAAATTCCTGTCTTTTGTATGAGTGCTTGGCTCATGAGGAGAGTATTGTGGTCGAGCTGAATGTGATTCATTGGTGCCCCCTCCGCAAGGTGCTCATTGTAGGATACGGAACCTTGCAGCAACAGCGGCCAGCGGTCAACAGACGGGTGGATATGACCACGCATCGGAAATCGGTACTTTCCGACGCTTCATGAAATAAAATGGTATGCGTGTAAAAGTTGTCCCTGACCGGATATTTCATCTGTGCGGTTTTTAGATTGGTAGTTGGGACGGACTACCATGTAGGGTGCCACGAATGCAAGGCGCAATGGCGCTATCTATCTTGCTCGCAATGCTGCAGCTGCTAATTCCGTTCAGAGAATCTACTGGTCAACCAACGGGATTACATTGGTAAAACGTTTTAGTCAGGAGCTGAAGGGCATTCCGTCCCATCTTGGTGTCCCTAGCGGCTGCTATTCTGGTGATAGCCAACAGGACCGTACGGAGAACCTCAGAAGGATGCGTCACAACCTGTCCCTTCCGTAATGCGGCTGACCCTCTGACTGGGATATTCCGCAATGGATCGGCGCAGGGGTACTCACAGACACAATCGGACATTTTACCGGCACAAGAAGCCCAATAACTGATTCCGAGACATTAATTCGCCTTATTGGCCTTCTGTTCAAACGGCGCGGAGGATCCCTGGCCTGGTACCGGTGCCTCTGACTGCCACAGGTCTCTCCACTGTCTTATTGTAAATGTAAACCCTTATTTTGCCATTTCTCGCAAATCCTTCATTGTCAGGAGAGATCAGACCATGTACAATAGGCCCGCTGACATGCGGAGTCCCACCATCGTCCGTATTCAGTAAATGTGCTTCAGACCGACGTGGGGCTAATTGCCGACACATGGTTCCCCGCTCAGGACTGTGGTCACTGACCAGCACTGGAGATTCTTCATCGTTTCAGGCGTCCCGATCAATGTAGAAAGCCTTCCGGTTGACATTAAGTGACCCTGGCCTTGCCCGTGCTCGGGAAATGGACCCTAGACTCCAGAACGGCAAGGAACCGACTGTGCGGTATTGTTGGTCTCAGTCTGCCGACTCAAATAGAGATACAGTCGCAGGGGCCCTCCGATCGTTGCCAGAGGTACTCTGACACTTGAGGGTTTGGCCCTCGGGCTGTGATCCCTCTATAGCGACCTCTGGCCTGCCCTTCGGTCTCTTTAACCGGGCTCTTCATCTTTGGCCCTGAGGGACCAAAAAAGACCCTCCTGATCCATAGGGCCGTCGGGGCCGAGGAGGTAAAGCTGGAGTAGTCGTGCTTAATTAGGTTCCCCGTAAAAATGAAGCCTTGAGGGCCATGTTAAGTGACCCTAGAATTTCGCATCGCTTTAACATGAATGTTTGGGACAGTTTGTAGTACTCCAATTGAAATTGGGTGCCTTTCAAAAATGAATGTCGTGATGCCCCCAGAATCAAAATTCTTGGTACCTTTTCACCAAAGATGCCGAACCAGGATTTCGTATGAGTTTAAGACAAGGAAATTGTGGTACCCTGTAGTTTGATGCTCCATTAAAGGGAAGTGTTGAACCACTTTCAATCGTATTTCGAACGCTCACTTGCATTTGGTTTCTCAAGGGAATAAATGCACTGGTGGCCTGAAGTGAGAGGTGTCCCTTGCCCGAATGGGCCGATGCAGGATTTCGTTAATGGGGAGGCAATTCCCCTGGATTTAGGTCCCCCTTTAAAACTGCATTTTTTGGCTTTGCAAGTGGCCCGCTTTGATTTAGCACCCCTTGAAAATGAAGATGATGCCAACCCGCAAAGGACGTCTTCGTACCTTCTTGCCCAAGGGTCCGATCCAGGATTTGATCAAGACGGAAAGTTCAACACAGCTTCGCCACTGGAATGTATTATTTTTTTCGAAATGAAGAGTCGTAGCTCTTTCTGGTACTCTCTAGAATTGGATGATTCTTGAAAATAAAGGCCATAATGTCCCGAAATGAAGTGTTTGGTGCTGCCCTCTTGCCGAATGGGCCGACCCTGAATCTCGTCAAGTGGCACGACACGAACGTCGCGGTCCCCTTGCAACTTGATGTCTCATGCAAATACAGGTTATGTGGTTCCAAAATGAATGTATTGCTGCCCCTTCGCGATGAGATTTGGTGCCCCTTCGGGGCACCAAATGAGCATGACCCCATGACCCCCCCCCCCCCCTCTGGATCCGCTGCTGTTTTGTAATGCCCATGAAATGTGTGCCTCCAGAAAATAAAAGGCTATGATGCCCGGTAATGAAGTTTTTTGGTACTCCCTCGTGGAACAGGTCGATCCAGAGCTTTGCTGAGGTCAAAGGCATAGATATTGTGGCGTCCATGAATTTGGGTCCTTGTTTAAAACCAATGTTTTGGAGAAGTGGAATGGCCCACCTAGAAAAAGGGACCCTTTAAAATAAAGATCATGGTGCCCAAAATAAAAGTAACGGTGCCCAAAACTAACCGTTTTCATGCCTTCCGAACTCAAAGGACCCATCCAAGATTTCGTCAGGTTGGGAGGCACAGCATTGCTATGTCCCTGAAATTTGGTGCCCTTGGAGAATGAAAGTTTTGGAGCCGGTTGTGATGTCCTCGTATTTTGGTGCCTATCAAATATATGTTTGTGGTTATTTGTAGTGCCCCTGAAATTTTTGGGTTTTTTGAAAGTAAAGGTTGTGTGGATCCGACATGAGGACTTTGGTGCCCCTTCACGATGACATTTCGTTGCCCCTCGCCCAAGGGACAGGGGGCATAGCCCCATTCCCCATCCCACCCACTACCGCTCTGGATCCGCCATTGATCAATGTCGGTTGGCAAGGCACGCCTCATCATCTTAATGCGTGGCTCGTTATTTTTCCCCACTTTGTCACTCGGGCCCATGCGTAAGCCCCATTCATGTCACCTTGGCGTGCGTCTGAGTGCATACCGTGTTATGCTTATGACTGCAAAGCCCCAATGTACATTCCGCAACGTGTTATTTCTACGTGCTAGGCAGCTGGAGCCTCCTTTGCGCGAGGTGTGTGTACTGGGCAATGTGCCTCTAAGCTCTCCTCATATGGGCTCGAAGCGTGTTTCATTCAAGTTAACAGGTACCGACCAGTGGCTCAGGTATGCATGCGAGCAGGCACGCACGCTGCGTTGCTACATGCGGCCCGCTGCTAGACGCCTATTGTCCACTCTATCTAAACAGGAGGCGCTCCCGTTTCAAGAGCATTTGCAAAAAGCACGGCTCAAAATGCTCTCTGCTGCCCTTGCCCTGAGCACACGGTGTACCTTGCCTCCACTACTAAAGATTTAGCAAAACGATGACACGACCTGCGCATCTTCAAAGCTTTTGTTAGCACATTCATATTACATATACCTGTAGCGTGTTTAGACTCCCCTTGGTCTCATGCGATGTTGGGTTCGCTGCAATCTGGTTTACGCGGTTCGGGCCATCGGTTGCCTTGGCCGATCAGCTGATCGTTCGCGCCATTTTCATTCGCGCCAACCTGCCTGTCGTCAAGCGCGTGAAGTCCGGTGCGGGGATGAAAATGTTCTGGGCAGCCAGTTAAGTCCCTAAGCTGTCAGAGAGGGAACCCCACCCACAAGAGACTCCTCCGTAGCCAGAGCGTCCCTCGGCAGTTAGAAGGGCACGGATCAGGTTAAACGGCTCGTGAGCGGCCAGAGAGGTTCTGAGTACTCGGAACGGCGAGCGGCTAGTGCGGCCCGTGAACGGATGTTGCCGATGGGGCTTTACGTCACACGGAGCTTCTGAGGCCATATGACGTCACCTGCTCAAATGGCGTCACCCTGGCAGGAAGGGCGGGCACCGGGGAGATCGAGCCCTGTGCGTCTGGTTTTCCTGGCGCGCATCTTAACCACCATGTTTAAACGGTCCAAGGTGGCCGGGGTAACGCCTAGGTTATTTTATGTGTTCAGGGGACCTGTAAATGACAGACGGGCCCAAAGTAGCTGTTAAGCCCCTAAAGCGGCCCGAGCGCCTACAGTGACCAGTTGGGATCCACTTATTTGTAACAGGGGCCTTCTGGCTGGCAAAATGAGTCCCAGTGAGTAGACAGAGGATGAGCTGTACTCATTCAGCACGGGCATTTTTCTTCAAGCTGCACGCAGCAAAAAAAGCCCTGTGTACACCTCCACAAAACCCCAGATTTTGCGTTGCAGGGGTCAGGGAAAATGGACGCCCCTCTATCCCCCATATCACAACGTATCTCCAGCCACGACCTCAGTCGTGGCTACATGGTTTTGACGGCAAGTTCAGTGGGGACCCAAAGCAGCCAGAACAAATGTTGTTGGCTTAAAAATTGCTTGGGGCCCAAAATGGTCCCTGACTGGCAAGATAGGTCCGTTAAGAGCAAGGTCCCTGAGCGGCAAGAGGGGCACGAAGTTGGCATTCAGCCGTGGGTATTTACTGAACCCCGGAGTCAACAGAGTGCCTCTGACCGGTCAACGAGTCCATCGAGCAAGCAGGAGGACTCTTGGGCGATGGAAGGGGCCTCTCAGTGGCCAAAAGGGCCCTGAGCAGTCAAGAGCGCCCCAAGTTTCCAGGGGATTTTGAAGATGACTGAATCACTCTAACGACCCCAGCTGTCCCAGTTATCTGTCATTAAACCAGGTCTTCATGATGCTAATACAAAAATTTGACTCACAACAGCTGCACAAACTAGGAAATTGCACTGAAGCTTGTTAATCGCGCTACATCAGCCGGCCAGATCTCTCTGAACAACATAACAACACATTAACCCTAGCCTTCATCGCAGAGCCGGTGGTGTTAGCAAAAACAGGAGCGAAATTTATTGCACTTGCCTCCATGCAAATGTCACGCTAACTGGCGCAAAACAATTATGCATATTAAGAAGGACTGCAGAGTGACTACCTTTCAGAGCTTTCCTTGTTACGATAGGGGTGCTGTCGTCAGGAAATGGCCAAAACTGCTCTCAGAGAGAGCCAAATGTAAACTTTGTACTGAACTCATATGAAAGTGGGACCAAAATCCCACAAAACTACCCTCTATTTGAAGTAAAGCTCTCGGCCTGATTCAAATGGAAACTTGGCAAACTGGGGAATATGGCAATGGATATGGCAACTCTTCAACCACCTCCTCATTGCCCACGTTCCCTACACCATCCTACTCCTCATCTCTCATTGCCCCCCCCCCCCCCCCCAATAGCCTGCAGCATTGGCTATCGTATCAGTCTCCAGCAGCCAGGATAATACAGGGAAAATGTTGAACTAGATGTAGTTGTCATTTCAATGCTACCAAGCAGCAATGAAATGATTGCATTTCAGGCAGAGGCTTGGTTTTCAAAGCTAAGTGTGGGGGATGAACAGTGAAAAATATGCAATTTTATCCAAAAATATCTGTCTCCTCAGATTTGGCAAACTTCTTTGAACAGAGCGTGCTGTCGCGATCCACCACGAAGGAAACTCACAGCACAGTGTGCCGGAAAAATACTGACGTGTCGGATGTGACGGAAACTAACGCAAATCAAAACCATAACACATGCCGAGAACTTTACTCTCCGCCGACAGTGGTGGCACATGTGACCCTGCCATTAGGCCAACAGCGAGTGATGTACTGGACACCCCAGTAATAACAACAAGAGTGGTATGATGAACGGTATCAAGACAAAGCTTGCCGGATTCAGACAGGTTATTGTAGAAATAATATGCAGAATGCGGCTTGAAGCGGACGAGTGAACGGTTCAAAACTATGAGCATGCTTTTGTCGGCCCCATATGATGTACGGGATACACACTTTGGAATGTTGAGAGATTTAAAGCAGTGATCGCGTAACATTTTGAGGTGTAAGATTATATGTAAGCCGGCGGTCAAAGCATGCCCCAAAGTATCTGGCCACAGTCTCAGTTGGAATAACAGAGGTGCAATGCAATGCTAGCCACGTTCAAGAGCGATTTAGCTGTCTCATCGGGCCCACTGGACTTTGTTAAAAAGACTGGTGTTTGTTGAACGAAGGTGGTGTATGAAGGAACTACTGAATGATTTTGATTGATCTAAATTCATTTTCTAAATTTATTGGTCAGAATAAGTAGCGTTTGGCATGGTGAGCCTTCCCCACGATGGTGTCGCCAGTGGGGGCGCAGCACAGTAACTTGGCCTCGCAACCTCTTTTTTTTTGGGGGGGGGGCGCAAAGGAGGAGTAACGCCACTGGTGTATTGGTCTCGTCAAGACTCTTTTACGCGAAGCAGCACTTGGTCTCCTACCCACAGTGGACTCGGCACCTTATATTGTTTTAGTCGTGACCTGAATTTCTTCGTTGTAATGTCTCATTATATCATTCTGTAAAATAACACACTTTTTGGTGCGGGATCGTTAATTTAGATGATGGGTCCAGTTCGGCAACAAAACGAGAAACGATTTTGAAAACAAAATACTTGCTTCGACGCGTATGGCGGATTCCAAGCTTAAAATATGTATTGTATCCCAGTATTGCAAAGATGGTTCAACGGTCCCATTTGGCCTCGGGCCTTTTTTCAAATACCGAGAGAGGACCTATCAACTCCAAAACTGTCGGTCGCCCTGTAACTAGGCTGACACTATCAAGCCAACGGCCAAATGGCCTTCTTTGACCAGCCAGATACGAACACTATGCATCAAAGGAAACAATGGTGTTGTTTTTAGAGGGAAAATGCCACCTTCTTGTACTTTTGACTTATTGCTAGATCAGACGAGTACAATTTAATCAGTACTGCCAGTTTTCTCTAAATCCTTCTGATCATCTTATAATTTTGATTTGAAGTAGCCACTCCTGCGGGAGAAATGTCCTGCTGAAGAAATCTCTCAGAAGTTTCTCTCATCTCCCTGCTCACCACTATAAAAATGCATTTTATTTGCATTGTTTTTCCAACGTATGTGCTCTGTAATGTTTGCAGCACACTTATGTGCGAAAATATTTGTGTAATACATGCTACGAAAGGTTGAACCACTCTGTTAGACAAAAGATATGCGAACATGAGACGATTACCGTGCGAATTCAACGAAACCTTTAACTATTGCCTTGATTTCTTTCTTATGCCATTTACTCCAGCGGGTGTTTTCGAAGTGCAGTTTGGCTTTGGGAAGCGCAGTATTACGTGGTCTATAATGACGCACTGGTTCAAACTTCCACCGATGTGCTTTTCGGTAAATGGCCCTTGCCACCCGCTGTGCCAATCCCGAACGTTCGTTTGTACTGACATGATTCAGTAACAGCTGACAGCGGCCCCCAGCAGATTCTCCCGTCGTCATGACGACGGCTGTCCCGACTGCGGGAAAGAAGCATACAATGTGCTGTTACATAACGTTGACAGCGTAATTTGGGCTCGAAAATGATGAAAATTAATATTCTCATTCTGTCTTTATGGTGCTGCAGTGACACTACCCAATGCTATTATTACACGGAACTGGTTCTGATGTTTCACTTGGGCACGTTTTTGCAAATGTGGGACACTCCTTTAATACCCCTTACACTTTTTGATGCGATTTTGCTGCCAAGTTTCAGTTTCGCCCAAAGCGCTGTACCCTATGTGTCTTAAAGCATTGAATTGCGTTCCTTCACCATTGTCGGAGAATTAACACCTTCGGATTTAAATGTAGATATTAGCCAGCAAGGGGGAAGTATATCGCCCAGTACAGCAAAAAATGATACCACTACGGAATGAGGTCCAACTTATTTTGTAGGATGGCTCGTTATTACTTTGTAATGTCGAAGGACAACCAGCCCACTAAATGAACTGACTGACCGACAGACCGACAGGCCGACAGACCGACTGACTGACCTGACTGGCCTGACCGGCCTGACTGGCCTGAATGGCCTGACTGACCTGACTGACCTGGCTGACCTGACGGACCATGTGGGTCCAAGCCCCTCACCCCACCACACTACCATGTAGGTCCCAACAGCCGTACTCTAGAAACATGGCCAGCGAATAGCCGAGCGCATATGTACAGTGCGCAGCTGAGCCAAGTGTTTAAGGCGCCAGGCAAACTAACATAGATAGCTCATTAATCCTCTATGTACTGTACCTAGTGGCGTTTGCAGGCTCTGTTAGTCTGTTCGCAGTGTGTCCGTACTGTCAATGGGGATGGGAGTTGCGCGTATGAAAATTGTCCCCATCGCAAACCATGGTCGCAATCATCGTTCCGTCACAAATTATGATAGTCCCCTTCCCCGTCGCAAACTCTTGCTGCGCCCCTGATGACACATTGCGTGTACCTTCGCTTCTTCAGGACGAGAGGAACCAGATCCTTACCACCAACTGTTGGCTGACCCACGTCTGGACGGATTACCACCTAACTTGGAACGTCTCTGACTTTGGCGGCGTGGAGAAGATTCGCGTGCCCTACTATAGGGTGTGGAAGCCTGACATCATACTCTACAACAAGTGAGTTAACAACAAGTTAGTAACAAGTAGTTGGGATGGCGAGCAAGTAAGGATTGCTGCGTCACTTGCCATTATTGAGTTCTTAACTGACACGGTTCCACGGCGGATCAACCAGGGATAGCCTATAGCCAGCCTATAACTGGAATGGTAGGGGGCGGGGATGTTGCATAGCTAGAGTGGCCGAAGGGAGAGGGGAGGGGTAGACAGAAAAGTGTAACGTTCACGGCTAGCTGCAGTCATGCCATTTGAAACATTTAAAATCATTCTCGCCAATACTGTTCATTGTTTCCATGACGCACAACACGCCAGTTATCTATTTGGCATCTATAGCCCAATTAGAGGCCAAATGGAAGTTACGTTTTCCGACGTGAATGTTAAAGCGGAGTAACCCGGGAAAAGGCTCTGTACCCGCCGCATTTGGTGCGTAATCAGAGAGATTGATTAGGCGTGTCGAAAGAATGACGTAACTTACGGACTTCCCTGACCCCGAACCATTCATTTGATGTTCGTGGCTGCGTCACCTGGCGTCTGATTTCGCGGCCGATTACTCGCGTCTAATGGCTACCACAGCCCACGCGTCCATAAACCAATCAAAGCAACTAACAGACCAACGATCTCGCTACCGCCTCATGTCCGCTCGCCACTGAATGAGCACGCGTGTGGAAGCTGAATGCATCAGCCGCCTGTGCCCCCCCCCCCCACACCGGGCCAGTGTGTATCCCGCGCCGGCGGGTCGTCTCTCGGTGGCGTCACCAGCCAGCTCCGCTGTCCGCCTGCCCCGACTCAGCGCCCTCCACCGTGACGCGTTCGCCTGCGTCCGGCAGCGCTGACTCTCAGTACACCACGGCCGTGATCAACACGAACGTGATCGTGACCAGCGCCGGCCAGGTCACCTGGCTGTCGCACGGCATCTACCAGTCGTCGTGCGACATGGACGTCGAGTACTTCCCGTTCGACATCCAGAGCTGCGAGATGAAGTGGGCCAGCTGGACGTACGACGGCTACACGGTACGTCCCCGCGTGTGATGGCGACGGCGGTCCTCCGAACTGACGGCGACTGACGGAATGACGACGGCCAGATAGGCACCAATAAAATCACCACATAGGCGCCCCAGTGTTGAGTTCGATGGTATTTGGAGTGGCATGACTGAGCCGTGGCACAAGCTGTTGCAAAATGAAAACTACGGTAGCGGAAGGCGAGTCACACCAAAATGTTAATTTTACTCTGACAGACGGCAGGACGCCACAACCGGCGCGTGACACGTGTCCTACACGGGAACATGTGGCTAACGTTTCCGGGTCAGAAATGTTGACAAACATGCGATTAGAGAGTGCAGAAATCACCGAGACAGGGCAACGCCGCCCGCGAGGCTCACCTTTGATTGCTTATGGTTAGCTTTGTACGCAAAGTTTAGTGCTTTGTCTAGCCTATTATCTAGCCTGCTTATCTAGCTGTTTTTGAAGTCCATCGACGGACTGGTAGCCTTAGTGGGCGTCCAGCGCCCATGCGCCCATCAGGTCACGTAAGGTCAGGTCAGACTGTGATGTCAGCAAGAGGATGGGCTTCGCTGTAGCTCAGGCCACGGTTAACACGCGGGAGTTGTACGGCCTGGTTCAGAGCGGTCACGGTCCTCACAGAACACAGCACAGGGCATAATGAACTGGTGTTTAGTTCAGAACACAGGATCATTAATCTAGCCGGCTACGACAGCTGTGTAAAGGACTCCGATGCCAGGCACCATCTAGCCATCATGCAAGTTCATATGCCATGAAATATGTTACCGACAACCGAGCTGGTCCAGAGCCACCCATCACAGAGGGTTCCCGTGCTGGGTCTGTATGAGTCCGACTGTCGTGTCGAGGGCTTCCTGGCTTGGAGGCCGAACCCGCTCTGGGTCAACGGTCTCGAGAGAGAGAGAGAGAGAGAGAGAGAGAGAGAGAGAGAGAGAGAGAGAGAGAGAGAGAGAGAGAGGAGAGAGAGAGAGAGAGAGAGAGAGAGAGAGAGAGAGAGAGAGAGAGAGAGAGAGGAGAGAGAGAAGCAGAGAGAGAGAGAGAAGAAGAGAGGAGAGAGAGAGAGAGAGAGAGAGAGAGAGAGAGAGAGAGAGAGAGAGAGAGGAGAGAGAGAGAGAGAAGAAGAAGAGAGAGAGAGGAGATTCGGCTGTACTCTCGGCTGATTTCTACGGGCTGACTCGTGACGCTTATCTGCCAGGCCTGCTTGTTTCAGCGTGACACGTTGGAGCTACACGCAATTTTATCGTAGCTGTGAGGCGCGACGGGCGACGACCGGTATTGTGATCGAGCAGAATTAAATCGTCGGGCGATCGTTTACGTTGAGCCTCTTGTCGAAGCTGAAATGTTACGATGACATGCGGCCTATGGCGTGCATTGGGGATTGCAAACCTGGCTAAAGCGCAGCGGCTATTTATATATATAATATATATATATATATATATATATATATATGTATAATTTTAAGATCAATATAGCACTTTAACATGCAGTCACAGGCACCGTATAATTATCAAAGTTTAGTTTTATGGTGTTCCCACCAAATACATGGTTGAGGCACTTGAAAAAAAAATATCATCGCATGTTGAATATTGGAACTTCAGACACACTTATGATCACTGGTAGTTTTGCATTTTTATCAATCAAGTTAAAATGTTACTAGTCCGGTAGTTTGCATTACGCGCAAGGCGGACATCCTGTCAGTTGATGTCGCAGAGTGTTATTTATGTAAGATGTGTGCTTTGCATGTTGAAGATAGCTGTCATGTCGGTGATGTAGTTATGCTTCAAGTATGGGCGAGGCGTCTTTGGTCTATGGTATGAGCAAATATGATAGTGTTCATGACTATTTCTGGTGAGTATTCTGGTGAGTGGGATGCTCTGGTGTATACGCGCACGTGTTTTCGGTGCCCCTCCCGCATGTGCATGGTTAAATGTTGCCTGACTCCAACTAGTCCCGAATGAGACTAGCTACAGTCAGGCAAGTGTAGTCTACTTTGGCGGGTTTCACAGTCCCAGACAGCGAATTGGAACAGTAAACTAGATTGGTCTGTTTTACCTTATCTTCATTTTAGATGGTGTTATTTTTCTTAATCCGAGACGATGCTTTTGGACGTTTTTGTAGCATATAGCAAACATTATTATTTTCCGTTGATCAATGGGGGCACAGTGTTTGAAGACAAAAGTCACGCAATGCTCTCTGATCAGTTTTTCCATGAAAGGATCAAAGTAATTTTGTGACAAAAAAAACTTCAACGCTTCATGATGATTGCAAAGATGAATTATTTTGTTTGGGAAATTTCTAGGAAGCGATCGAGCAAGGATTTCGTGCCATTGTCAACGCCAGTGTTGTGTAACTGCTATTGATGATCATCTGCCGTAGTCGGTCTAGCTAGCTACATGGGTCAAAACGTCTTTCCTGATGATCAAAATAATCTGAAACAAAACAATGATTGGCTGAAACAGATCAATGCAGTTTGCTGTTTTCAAGGTGCTGCCGGGACTACAAAATCTGCAAAGTTAGCTATATTGATCTGACTGTTACAAGTATCAGCCGTCGTCTACCCATGTACCTGGCGGAAGGGCACCGAAACATATGCACGTACACACTAAAGCAACCCCCTTACCAGAAATACGATAGTCACAAACACTACCATACTTGTGCACACCAATGGCCACAAAAGGCCTCGTCACACTTGAAACATTATGCATGAGACCTATTGCACCCATCATCGACATACAAAGCAAACAGCTCACACAACTAGCGTTCTACGACATGCGACTGATTGGATACACCCTTTCCCCGTAATGCGGGACTACCGGACACGTAAAATATGACTTGATTGGTGAAATGTCAAACCTTCAACCATCAAAAGTGTGTCTGAGATTTAAGTAGGTGGCGAACAAATGTTGGTTCTTGAATGCCTCGACCCATGATGTGGTGGGAATACTATAAAATCAAACCATTTGAACACGTACTGTTTTTTGTGACTGCATGTTTAAAGCGCGAAAGTTCTCTTGCAAATAATCGTGGAACTGATTGAAAGCGTTGAACGAATAGTGAACATTAGACACATTCTTTACCAGAGCACCGAAAACGACAAAAACGCACGGTACGAGGCCTTGAACAAGCGGGTTAAAGAACCCTCTCCCAAGGAAAATCATTGGATGAGTTTCTCTTGGTTTTTTTAATGCTTTTTAACGGCTTCAACTTGAACGGAAGCCCGAAACCGCCGGAGATGTAACTATGCTTGTATTTGAAGTCAACAAACTGAAGAACCAGGCATTAAGTAATCACACAGGGTAAACGTTTTTCAGTGCTTTCAAATATTCACTTTACAATTGCTCAGTGGACTGTTTTTGAGCTGATAACACTTGGGGATTTCACCAGAATTCCTTTTTGGGCTCTACGGAGATAAAGAAGATAAAATAGATGGTGATGACACCGTGAACGTAGATTGCAGATCGAAACGGGATCACGGGTGCGTATGGACATTGCCAGCCCACATTCGTTTGGGAATGTTCAACTATTCTCAATGACTGAATAGCTGAAAATATAATCAGATAGCCATGAACTTGCGAGTCATAGAAACAAAATCCTCGACTTCCGGCGTTGCAGTTTCCGAAGGTCTCATGGGTCGTCCCCTCTCCCTCTGGCTAACACCAGGCGGTGGTCAACAGGCGACAAGAGCAATGGTACATCTGAAAAGGTGCTTTTAGATGCGTTAGGACATCAATCAGTGCGTTTAGAGGGCAGTCCAGGAGAATACTTCACCTACGCGATTGTTAGATTGTCAGCAAAAGCGAATTATGCGTTTACAGCACTGCGAAATGTTTAGGAATCTGGTGTGGGAGCTGGAAAAGCAGAGACAAAATTTTCACATTTTTGATGTTGTGAACTTTCCGCTGATGCTCAGAGGTCAATTTCAAAATAATAGAGGTGACATGTACATCACGGTCTAGTCTGTATGCGATACAAATGTATTTTGAATTTTTTTGGGAGGATTGCTTCGCAACGGCCGTTCTCGCGCGCCCGGTGCCCGCCAACTGGTGTTATCTGCGGCGACCGACGCTGCTTGGTGTACATAACAGTTCTTACATCCGATATTGCTGCTCTGTATATCTCAATTTCTATCATTCGGCACCATATTTATATGCAATGTGCCACCTGTTTGAGCCACCTGTTTGATGATGATGCTGATGTTGAACCACCTGTCTCTTGACTGAGACGTTTTCCTATTTTGAGCGGTGCTGTGGGCTGGGCGGTGAAGTCATGCGGTGGCGAATCCGTCTCGTATCGCGCACACCGGAGGGGTGTAGTTAGCGAAACAGGTTTGGGGCTTTCCCGGATTAGAGCTACTACCACTCAATGACTGGGAGCTGGAGTCTCGCCTGGTCGAATAGAAAGCTACACCTCTGCTGAAATACGTTTTCTCGCTCCGCCTCGGCGTGCGGTGCTAGCGCCGGGCATCACGATGATTTTGTTGGGCTTCGATGGACGAGGCCAGGTTTCGGCGATCGACGCAGGGTCGATGTTATGCGAATGTAGACGTTGTTGGACGCGTGTGGCTTCCGGAATAAACAGTGTGGGTTGATGTGCGCAACTATTAAAGGCCACCAAGGAAATGCCCAGCCGTAGCCGCAAGGTGAGCTTCAGGTTGAAATGCAACGTTATGTTGGGCATGATCGAGACGCCTAATGTCGCTTTGCTGATGACAGTCGAACAATTAAAGCTAATTGTTTAGTTGGGTGGTTTTGATTGTCGGGTTTTCAAAATGTTTCGTTGAATATTCATGTCGTACTATGGGGTGGTCACATTTCAAGAATCGAGTGTTTAAGGGTTGTGAGGTTTCAGGGGTTTAAGGAACGTAGCACTTAGTAAATTCGTCACGTTTTTTAGGTGCGAACTTGCGACTGGTTTGTTTCAACACCCACCCGGACGACGATTTGAATAGCTTTCGCTCGGGTGTAGTGGGAGGGGGTCAAATTGAACCCTAAGATCTGAAAAAATCAAGAAAT